AAAAAAAAAAAAAAAAAAAAAAAAAAAAAAAAAAAAAAAAAAAAAAAAAAAATGAACCACAAAACTTGGGACCTAACCTACCAGAGAAACTTAAATCGTAGTTCTATCAAGGCGGGGTGACGAAAGAAGCTAACTATCTACTGCGGATGCTGCTAAGTGTTCATGTTGTTTTCTTCCAAGAAGCTCATGTCATTGTTAATGGGGAAGTCCAGAAGCAGTTCTAATGCACTATCCGACGACTCCTCGAACTCATTTGCACTTGAAGAATCAGACTTGGACATCACAATGTCAGCCATGGATTTGAAGTTTTTGTATTCTGTTTCTTCATTTTCATTGCTTTCCATGGCTGAGGAACCGGTGTAATCAACTCCGTTATGGGTTGCAACAATGTAAACCGACTCACATTTGATCGATGAGGACAGGGAACTCTGGCTATGGCATGTGGTTTTGTCTTCCCTGCACTTACGAAACGAATCGCCAACTTCAGAGTTCCATATTTGAAGAAAAAAGTCAGAATCAGTCGTCGTTTCCATGGGAAGTGGAGTGAAGAGTGATGACTCCCTTGAAAGTCGAGCTTCGGCTTCGAGCCGAGCACTCTCCCACTGTGCCATGTGGCGGGTGGTTGGAGATGCCGGTGCTGTAGAGGATGAGCAACGAGAATTGAAGGGTTCATGTGTCTGTGGATCAATGCCAATGCAAAGGAGGCGTTTCTTCAGGTGGGTGTTCCATAAGTTCTTGATTTCATTATCTGTCCTTCCTGGCAGTTGAGAAGCAATGGCAGCCCACCTGCAAGGAGTCTTGATCAGTAAAACTCCATCAAACAACATTCATAATGCACCAAATAGTTGAAGAGAAACAATCGCCACATTCCATCATAAAACATATTTGTTGATGTTTTTTCTGATCTTAAAAAAAAATGTCTCGAAACCTCACTAAAGCAAACAACCAATTAATATATGATCGGCCTCCATGTTCTCCAAACTAGCATCTACAGTCGAGACTTAGCCTTGAGTTTTCTTGAAAGTAGTTCCACGAACTAAACATCTTTCTCTATTCAAACGTCTAACTGTTAATTGTGTATTACAGCATGAACATATAGCAAAATATCAAACGATTAGCCAAAAGGTAACATAGACATAATTTGAATTAAATAGTGGTTCAGAGGCGATTAAACAAAAGATACTATAAATTTAGGAAGCCATATCTATCTATGATAACATTCAGGAAGAAAACAATGAAGCATCACCTGTTTCCAAGAATTCCATGAAGCTGAATAACAAGCTTCTCTTCCTCAGGGGTAAAGGGGCCACGTTTGATGTCAGGTCTTAGATAGTTTGTCCACCTTAAACGGCAGCTCTTCCCACACCGTAGAAGGCCTATAAACAAATCAAGTACTGAGACCATCCCATCCAATGTGAGAGACAAATTAAATAATGAAGAACATAAGACAATAATCGTCCCCTCCCAATTGTGCAAGAAAATTTTTGGTGCTTCCCATGTGTAAGAACAAGGATTTTGAACAGAGTAAGTTTGAGTAAAGAAATGCTCAGTACAGGTGACAAACCTCGGAATCTCAAGATTACACTGGAGGCGAAATCCGAAACTAGAGACAAATCAAAAGACCAACTATTACTTATTTTAAAGGATGGTCGAGGCAAGCAGGCATTCCATGACAAGAAGAGAGTTTGCAGAAAAAAGTATGGACTTAGGCACCATTTGCAGGGCAATACAAAACGGTTTATGCAGACTAAAAATTACCAGAACAAAAGATTCAAAATGATGCTAAAACCTTTTTCTGCACACTGTTTGGTAACAAAGCACGAAACTTAGCTGTTGTTAAATCTATGAGATCGGAGAAAATGAGAACGGGAGGGATATTAGGAGAGTGAAAGGGAAAAGGTCAGGGTAAAGGACTTACTACTCAAGGTTCTTCTTCTTCCTTCTTTTTCCTTTTCTTTAATCAGTCCAGTTACAATAAATTTCGAAGTTAAGAAGAAAGGAATATGTTCCAGAAGTTACAACAATAAAAAGAGACTTCAGAATGAAAGATGACAAGTGGGAACTAGGGAAAAATTTGGATCACTAAACCTGCAAGCTTGGGGAGAGATCTCCAGCTACCATGGCCATTGTTTTTCTTAATATAATTAATAAGGAGCTCATCTTCTTCTGATGTCCACGGCCCTTTCTTTAGCCCCTTCTTATCACAACAAGGCGTCCTTCCCATCTCACAATTTTCACTACCAGAGGCAGAGACACCCCCTCTAGTGACCAAGAGCGAAAGAAAAAGTTCAGAGCCTTCCCTTAGAGCATCAATTTTTCAGAGCGAATACAGAGGGAGGAGGGGAGGGTAAGCCATGTGAAATGGTTTATATCAATGAACTGAAATTAAAAGAGGGAAGTTAATGGCTATGTGAGTCTGAAGGGGAAGGACAAGAATCAGCTAGTTTCAAGCTGGTTCTTGCAATAAATACTGACATGGTTGAGCGTAGTAAGAATTGAATCATCATTGAAAGTAAAATTTGTCCAAAAAAATTGAGGGATTTAATACAGAGGTTTCTTATTCTGAGGTTTTACAATTGCGCACAACTGATATAAGAAATAAGCGAATAAGGAGAAGAATTTATTGCGGATTCTCACAATGCAGACTAGCATTTATTGAACAGAGAGAGATTTTGAGACGCATTTACTATGATGAAAATGACATACAGGGTACGGGACATACCATGACAAGACCAGGCCTTCACCATTGTTTCCTTGTGGGTCTTTCAAAATTTCCTCTTCCCTCTTCCCTCTTCCAATCTGATTGCTAAACAAGAAAACAAAACAAACCTGATTTTTAGCTGGAACTTCATGATCAGTGAACTTCCCTGCCTAATTTTTGTAGGAAGCTCTAAATTGTGAGAAAACTCCCCCTGATTAAGATTATGTTAGATTACAAAACATGCGCCTGTGCCTAAAATACACAAATTCATTGATCATACTTTTGTACACAAATTCATCGACCATACTTTTTTCCTATCTAAAAATTGAACAGACTTCGTTTGTGCATATTCTATTTAGGATCAGATTAAATATTAATAATAGGAATTGTTCACTGATAGTAATCGCCACTATAAACAGAAGACAATAATTCACACGATTTCAACAATAATCGAGTCAAAATGAGTCTAAACCAAAATAGATAAATACTGAAACAAAGCATAGTTACCTTCATCTCACTGAGCAATCGAAAGTTGTGATAATAAATGCCTCGGAAAGAGAGAGGGAGAGACAAAATAAAATGTCATAATTCCATTACTCCTTTTAGAAATTAGGTAAAGGAGTTGAAAATGAAATTGAACAAAACCAGAGACGATAAAGCGAGAAAGCTGAGATTCGAGGGCACCAGTTTCAAACTCTGCGACCATCACACTGATGAATCGACAAGAAACCAAAAGCTGAAAGAGAAACCAAAAGCTGAAAGAGAAAACAAACGAAATCTTTTCCTTTTTGTATGAATTTACGGAATAAGAATGCAAAAATTTGACTCACCACGAATCAGGACGATGAGGAAGAAGACGATACGATGTAGCCATTGAAAGCTTCAAGGGCAAGCCGCTCTTGCAATTGCTGGTTCGAATTTGGCGCCATAAAAGCCAAACCGGAAATTGGTCTCCTTTCTTTTTTTTCTTTTATTTATTATTTCTCCATTTCTTAAGCAAAATATACACTTTTTATTAATTAACACAAAATATAATATATTAAATCTTAATTTCCATCTCTATTTTTTTAAAAAAAATTCAATAAAAATTAAAATCTCTCTCTATAATTTAATTTTAAATTTATTATTTATTAACCCCATTTCATTTTAAATAATTGAACTTTCTAATTAGCATTGATTAATAATAATTAATGTTAGTAGTAAGTGTTAGACGAACACGACTCTCCACAATGGTATGATATTGTCCACTTTGAGCATAAGCTCTCATGGCTTTGCTTCGGGCTTCCCAAAAGGCCTCACACCAATGGAGAGTATATTCTTAGATTATAAACCCATGACCATTCTCTAACTTAACCAAGGTGGAACACTTTCATGTAATAGTAAGATTAACAGAAAAAAAAAAATATTGATGAGTAGTCAAATTAAGGGTAAAATAATTAATATTTACCTTTAATTAGGAAGGGATCATATTAAGCTTAAGATATTTTGAAGGATCGCCAATCGAGAGTAAAGAATGAAAAGGCTTACGCATTGATTGGTTCCATTCGAACTCATAGAGATGCTGCTCGGCTTACCATAAAATAAGAACGATTTGTCTTTCTTAGCTCAGGAAATGACTTCACTTAAAAGACCGTTGCTAGGACGTGAGGGAGCCGCCTATCTAGTGACAATTATCTCAATTTTTATCATTTTTTTTGTTAAGTGCTTTAAATGGCCCCACTAGGATATCCAAATCAAGGTCTCGATTTTTGGTTCATATATGTGACGCTATATGCTATTTTTCATCGAAATTTATGACTTAATACTATTTTTCGTGAAAATGTTATGATGTTAATAGGGGAAAATCGCCTGTGAGCTAAAAACCGCAAATGGTACCCGATGAAAAACATGCCTCGTTATTATCTCTCGAGTAGTTATACCTAACCACACGTATTATTCAATAGAACTCACCTAACACGTGTTATTTTTACAGACCCTAGTTCATCACATAATTCTCTTACGATTTTATGCCCGTTGTGATTCTTCTATGTTTTGTACGATGGCCGTTCACTAAGAAATTCGCCAACGAGTAAAGAGCTCAACTTAAAATATTCATACAAAAAGATAACAATTTACGTAATTATAAAAAACTATATCGACTACTTTACTTAAAACTCGGAATCAGTTCAACGAATGTCACTATCATTACCAGTAGTATTGGTTCTTAAATTTCTCGAGCGTTTTAAGCTTATAAATAAAAATAAAAAAGAAATAAAATTAAATAGCAAAATCCGAAGAAGATCGAAGGCCCTTTATTGCTAAGAATTGCAAAGGGACAAGACAGTCAAAAAGATTAAAGAAGAGAAAAAAAAGTCTCAAAATAAAGACAGTCAATGCTAAGTCAATGCTGTCGCTTCGCATTTACTACAAAATGCCAACGCTATCCATTTCTTTTTTATTTTTTTTAATTTATTTTAATTTATTTGACCAATAATAAAAGAATTTTGCAATAATATAAGCATAAGCATTATTTTCCATCCATTATTTAAGGCAGGGGCAAAATGGGGATTTCACCTTATTTAACCTTATTTCAAATTTAAAATATCATTATTGACCGTTCATAAATATTTTTAAATTATATTTGAGTAAAAAATAAAAAATTTTGAACGGTTGTTGAAATTCTGTAGCGAGGGTCGATCGTTATGGTGTTAAGTCACACCCTTTCTTCTAAGTATAATTTTGAAACATTTACGAACAAAAAAAAATTAAAAACAATAATATAACTTCTAAAATGATAAAAATATTTTTTCAATTAAATTTCGTGTATATATATATAAATAAAGGATACAATTTCTAAAAATATATAATTTTTTTATAAAGAATTTAAACAACTTTTAATTATGTGAGAAGGTTTTTAAAAAAATGATTTCAAGCAAATCATTTATTATACAAACATTCTAGAAATAAATTGAGTTAAAATAATAATAATACTAAAAGCACTTAAATGACATTTAAAAAAAAAATACTTTTAATAAATAAATAAATAAATAAGTAGTAGTCAATATTATGAGCTTGACCTATGTGTTTGTAGTTCAACTAAAAGGCCTGCATTCCTATTCAATAAGGTTTGTAATTATTGAGATCTTATTTTGTCAAAAATTGCAAATAATTATTACCAAAATCACATTCACTATGAATTTTATTTTTAAAATAGCCCAACAAAAGTTATTGTTACCTCATCCATATCTAATTTATATATTAAACTTTGAATTCACATTACAATATTTATTTAATATCAAACTTAAAATATTTCAAATTTTTATTTGATGCAATTATAACTCCGGACGATAAAGCATGTTAAATGACACAAATTCATCTCCGACATTGTTACATTACCTACTTATTTTAAATTTTGAACGGCTATAAGAATGTAGTCTTGCTTCATAGACGAATACGAGCCATTTTAACCTACTTTATTTTCATTTATCGGCTTGTATATATATCTAAGTTCCATCAAAAACGTGATTTTCATATTTTTAAAAGAAGTTTACTAGTTGAGAAGCTTTTGATTTTATTATACCAAGAAAAAAAGAGTGATTAAAAGCATTATAAAATTCAGAAATAAAAAAAGGGAAAGACATAAATACGTCTGATACCCAAAAAAAGCATAGACAGCGGATGGCCTCAGCAATAAATTAGGCACACAGAATGCTGTGTCTAATAGCAAGGTTGCGTGAAAGAAAACCTCCAGCTTTCTCCTCGCATATCTGTTGGCGGCGACTCTAAAGCAAAAGCAATGCTCCAACAACGCATTTAATAAAAATGCACAAAGCCCTTTCACATAGAAATTATGCTACAAATTGCAAGCAAAACCAACCTTTCTGTGAGGTCCTATTTTTCAGATGTAAACACTCGAGAAGTCATTCCAAACATACCCTAATTTAAACGCAATCGAACTAAAGCTAAATAACACCAACGAACAAGAAAAAAGAACAATTGCCAAGTACAAAAGCGTGGGCAAGGAAGGGTACAAAAGCAACTGTCCATTGAACTTTTAAGTATTCGAAACAACCGAGGGGTCGGGGAGAAAGCAAAAGTTCTAAATTTAGGAGTCTATAAAGTGCATAAAAAGAGGAAGGGCAGGGGAGGATGAGAGTTTTTTCAAGGGAGAAAAAACGGAGAGATTACAATACATCGCAGAAAGTTGGAAGGAAGAGATGAGATGTTGAGAGCAAACGAGGAGAAAACAAACACAGAGAGAGCAGAAACAAACAGGTCAGCTGATAAAGATAAGCCAAATAACTGGGGACCCAGAATTCAACCGCCTCTGGGATTTTTATAGATCACCCACCAGTCTACATTCTATCCTAATCTCCTGTTAAATGTCTTCACGCCTATAGCTTTCTAACTAATAGAAAATTCCAACCCAACACTCTGCACAAGCTGAGTCTTCTCTCATATTGACTCAGAAAACACGGCTCCATCGATACCGCTCTTTCAAGGAGCTTCATTCACCTTGAGGAAACAAAAATGAAAAATCCATCAATATTTGTCGATGCAAAATGATTTACGTACAATTGTAGCAATGCAGATATACCATAAAACTACATTTAGGAGTTAACTAACTAAAGGTGCTTAATTAGATCGGTACAATCTAATTATGTTTCAAACCTTTCAATGCCTGCCATCCCCAGATGTAGGAATTCCTTTTTGGATTCTTGTATAATGAAAAATCTCCTTAGTTTTTCTAACATCCATACCTTAGGGGTACTCCTACCATTTGTTCAATATATATGTACATGCCTATGTGTCTGTGTATACATATAATGAAGGGGAATTCGGTAGCACGGAACGGTTCTTACCTGCCAATTGTTTACCTAGGATCCAGTGCCCACCACAAATTACTGGCAGTAGATTGCCTGGTCAATATGGGGTGGTATTTGTTTTATTTCAGTTCCAAGTTCTTGCTCAATCCTGTACCTGTTATACAGAAAATCACATTTCAGTGCATTTGAATATATGACGATGGCAGTCATCAAAATAAAACATCTTTTAGAATACATACAAATTGAAACGATCCTCATAAGTGATTAAATTCACAGCTAATCCAAGATGTCCAAACCTTCCAGATCTTCCAACCTGCAAATGAAAACATTTTAAAATATTTAAGGAGAGGTAAATCGAAAGATTCGACAGGAACTGAATGTGACACATACCCTGTGCAGATATGTCTCTGAATTCTTGGGAAAATCAAAGTTAATAACAACATTTACTGCTTGAATGTCAATTCCTCTTGTAAATAAATCTGCAATTGCATCCCACATTACAAGAAATTAGTTCAGGAAAAGAGGGATAGTTTGACGGATTTTCTTTTGACATACTGGGTAAAAGACATGCATATTCAAGAAGGGAGAAGAAATATGCAGAGTTAAACAAGATGCAGTAAAGAAAGGATGTTTTAACTTTTAAAAAATAAATAAATAGATAGATAGAGGCATCCTTATCAAGCTTATGTACGCATGAATCATTATGCACTTAGAAATAACATACCAGTACAAACAAGATTTCTACATGCACCATTTCGGAAGTCATGAAATACTCTATTACGATGATCTTGCAGCATCTTTGCATGAATATAGAAACAAGAATAACCAAGTTCCGTTATTTTCTTGGCTAACAACTCGACTCGATTTACGGAATTGCAGAAGATAATCGACTGGTTAATTTGCAGCTGCAGATAGAAACATTAACTTTGTGATTTACTAAGGAAAAGAGAATCTAGGGAAGAAAACCAAGAAAAAGAATTAGCTTCCTCGGAATCAAACCTTAGAGAAAAGAGTATTAAGGCAGTGAACTTTTTGTCTTTCTTCAACAAATGCATAGAATTGGGTGATACCCTTCAAAGTGAGCTCATCCATTAAGTTTATAATATAGGGCTTGTGAAGATATCTATCTTTGAAGTCCTTCACAGTAACAGGAAAGGTAGCGGAATACATAAGAATCTGCCGATTTGAAGGCAAAAAGCGAATCAAATGCTCTATTGAAGGTTGGAACTCTGGAGACAAGAGCTTGTCAGCCTGAGAAACAGAACAACAAAAGGTTAGCTTTTCCCAATGAGTTAACAACACAGTACCTCCCAATACTATATTATTAATCGATACTAAACCCAAGAGCATATGACCCAAGAAAATGGTTAAATATAAAATAGGATACGTACAATCATAGAAGTTTGAAATGGTTTTCATTATTTTTTATCATGTTAACTTACTCCTCAAACTAAAAACCTAAATTAATGAGTTAAGATAAATTAAAGCAATCGGTATACTTTTCTGAATGTGGTATCCATAACTGCTAGAACTAACCCAAAGATTTAAATGTACCCCAGAATTTGAAGTCTTTCTTTCAGTAATAGTAACCCATGCACTACCACTTTGGGAAAAATGGGAACTTGGTAAGGAAATAAGAACATAAAATTAGACAGTTCACACTACTATGCAACACGTATAACATACAGGATAATGCTTAAGCATACGGATGGGAGGGTGACAAAGGCAGGGAGAGAATAATCACAAACAAAAGTGAAAGTCGTCCAGGTATATCAGTACTACAAGTAATAACTCACAATTGAAAATATAAAATGTGTTTACATATCCTGCTAAGTTGTATGACTTCCTTTTCAATATCATTCTCAAGTGCATAAGGATGGAAAAGCAATTGATATCTGCCGTAAATATCATTGTTCACTTATCAATCTATAGTCATAAAATCATTTAGATTACATGACCCCACTACTGTAATATTGTAGGACAAATTCCTACGGAAACAAAAATGATATTGACAATAACGCAACTAATTTATGATATCCAGAAACTGAATATAATTTCGTTCATATCTCAGGTGATTACCTCATCCATAATAAGCATAGAACAGTCTTTCAGTACACACACACCCTTTTTTGCAAGATCTAATATTCTTCCAGGAGTTCCAACTAATAAATGAACAGGTTGATATAATCGCATGATATCATCCTTTAAGCTGGTTCCACCTGTCGTAACCATAACTTGAATATTCAAATTCTTCCCGAGTTCCTTACAAACTTGTGAAGTTTGAAGAGCCAACTCTCGAGTCGGAACAAGGATAACAACTGTTCATATAAAAAGGAAAAACAAATGTCAAATGAGTGAACCAAACAAAATGATACAGGAATCAATATTGTCATAGAAATGTAGCATAGCAGCATTTAGAGAACATGAATAAAAAGAAGACCACACATTCCCAGCACCTTAGTAGAAGAATGATATGACACATGTTAAAATTAAGGTCGTGGAATAAATTATTGGGTCAGAAAAAATAATAGTAGGAAAGTGGGGCAAGCCATAGGCAAAGATGCCTTCACTACATCTTCTCACCGTGAGGGTGGAAATACGAAGTAGGTTGATGCATAGAACTCAAGAGGCTAGTCTTGTCTTGTGGAAGGGTATTATTATTCTGGGAAAGAATAGAATCTATCTGATGAATTTACAACTTGAAAGTGACATTTTTTTCTTTTTACACATTAACAAGATATTGTTTTCACCAGAAGACCTCAAGTATGATATTCAACATGAGCAAAGGAAATAACACAGCAAGAGTTTTGTTGTGTATAATTTCTAGCCTGTTGAAAAAACTTGGATTAAACTACAGCACAGTGAGAATGTTTGGGATGGCAATGGAGCTAATTAGAATTTGTATATGAAGGAATCTCATCGATTTGGAGTTTAGAGAATCGACCTGCTCATAAAAATAATATAAGATTGATAATGACTGGTAAAAAAACAAACCTTGGATTACATTGTTATCCTGATCAATCTTTTCTAAGGCGGGAATGCAAAATGCGGCTGTCTTTCCAGTTCCGTTTTTTGCTCTAGCAAGAATATCACTACCGGTTAAAGCAATTGGAATACTTTCTTCTTGAATAGGAGATGGTCTTTCAAAGCCTTTCTCATAGATTCCCATGAGTAATTCACGTTTTAAAAAATAGTCCTCGAACTCATTTCCTTTCGTAGCTGTCACATCCTGAAATGAAACGAGCAGATGCTAACAAAGTTAGGCATGTCTTATACAGAGACCGTGAGTATTTCAAATTTGAATGAGATTCACACAAAACAGACTAAAGAATGAGAATATTATAATAGCACTTATCTGCCAAGCCTTTGCATAGGGATAAATCAGCATGCAGCGATTAATATTTTATAAACTGGATGTAAACCCTTAAGAAGATCACTAAAACGATACCTCTGTTCTATAGCGTGTATCGGGTGGTGGAATCTTTAGCCTTGCCTTCCAATCTTGTGAACTGCACGGAAGAGAAAAGGCATGAATGATAATAATCAGTTTCTACACATGGCAGGCAATACAACTTATCAAAATTCAAAACCTATCCCAATAGAATTTTGATGAGATACAAAAGTTTCTCAACATAAGAACATCTGTATGCTCAACATCCTCAGTCACATGAAATATGCGCTAAACAACACAAGTGGCGGGTCAGAAAGAAAGATAAACAAGGAGCAGAGACCCAATTTTTTTTACCATACATGATGCTTTAGCGAATGGGATCAACCATAATTAATAAGTTAACCGTGAGCCCCCTTCGACAGAAAACCAAGCATCCAATTGCAACCCCATTACAAAATCATAAATCAACCTCCGGTATGAGCATACAGAGAAATTAATCCAATCATTTTATGTAAATGCCCATACAAAATAATGCATAAAACGAAACACAAACTCCTTCGCGTATTTAACACAAACCTCGAATCAACAGCCTCAGACTGCACGGTCTTCTCAACCTCGTCAACGTTGGAATCGGCAGGACCGCCACCTAACTGGTTCCTTTTCAGCCATTGTTGGTGTTGTTGAAGCTGCTGGTGTTGGTGCTGGTTCTGATGGTGCTGTTGTTGATACTGCTGATTCGGCACCAAATTTCTTTGTACGTATTGCTGCTGGTGTGGTCTTGACTGAAACGAAGGGTTCGCATTCACGCCTCCGCCCCGCCCAGCGCCGATCCCAGGTGGATACCTTCCCCTATTGTTCATCACTAGACACAATGATCAAGACTCGAGACCCTAACGACGTTATAAAAAAAACGGGAGCTAGGGTTTCCGATCGATTGATTGAATGACGACAAAAACAAATAAGAAATCTAACGAAAACTACCAAGAAGATAGAAAGGATAATAATCGGCTACAAAAGGGTTTCGCTCAAGTTCACTAACGAAGCCTACAATTTATACATGACCAAAAATCCACCAATTATCGTAATCCCATGGAGGATAAAGGGCAAATCTGAACCCGAAATTGACACAAAAGAAGGGGGGGAATGCAAGAAATTTGTACAGATCTAGGTCAAGAAATGGCAGAAATTGCAGCAATAGAAAATTTTACAGAGCAATGAGGTGAAGATTTTGATATTAGAAGCTGCGGCAGTTTCAACGTAGATGAGAGCGGCCGGAGTTTCTTTCGTCAATGTTGTTTTCGGTCGTTTCGCAGAGAGAGACGATGAAGCGGGGAGTTACTATTGGAGAGCTCCTAGGGCAACCAAGGAAGTGGGTCTAACAATTTGCAGAATAGTCCCTGCTATACTTTTTCTTTATATGTAAGGACAAAATTCTTCCTTTATTTTCATTTCTTTCCCGTTTTCTGTCATTTTTTTTATTCATTTCTCCTCTCTCCTCTTTTCAGGGGGCATTCGAAGGTGTCGCAAATGTAAATTTTTTTTTCTTAAATTATAAAAAATCTTACATTTTTCTATTTTCTATTTTTTTCGACCCTTATTATCTGTCTCATTTATTTTCAAACTCTATATTTAAATTAGCTCGGATATAAACTTTTTTAATCCTGAAGTTCTTGGATAGACATAAAGAACGAGGATTATCTCGTTGATAGAATCAGGGTTAGCTTAATTGATGGTCCACAAATAAAGTAAGTACGTTCATTATTGACCAACTCTGGAACAAAAAGACCTAACCAAATAATCTCCTATCTCGGACTGGAGATGTTAACCGGGCAAAAATCAAAGTGGGCCATGAAGAAAGTCACTCGTAATCCAAGCTCGTCTCTACCCTGTAGGAACTAAGAGATCACCCCAAAAGGTTCTAATAAAATATTCATGTATTTTTTTAATAAACTTTAACTATTAAAATGAAAATTTTGAAAGATTTATTTATTTTATTTTATTTTTATTCCAATTCTTTGGGGACCTGTTCCATTCCTCTTTCATAATAACTACATAATAACTTCTATGTAGTTTATATCAGGGAAAGCAAAGTCTCGTTAATTTACATAATTGCCCTCGACCTCGAGAGATGGGACCATTATATTATGCATTTATCTAATACCTGCCATTATCAGCGGCAGCCATTACTTTCTGCACCGGCCGCCATGGATGAAGCCACCTCCATTCTCAGGCTCTTCACTTTCTCTTTCAACCCAGATGCCTCCAAAGCTTCCACAATCTTATCCTTTATCTCATCCTCCACCTTCTCAACCTCTTCCAGATTCAACCCATCCGCCATTTTCGCTTTCAGTTCCTCAATCTTCCCCTGAAGCCCCTCCATTTCTATGGCCCTCTCAATCTCTCCATTGATCTCCTCTTTCAAACGCTGCACCTTCTCTCTCGCCTCCGCCTGTGGGGCGGCGGCAGTCCCTTTCGCCATTCCAATGACTTCTAAATTTGCTGACTTTAAGATATGGTAAAGCTCTGCCTTGATTCTTTCGAGCTTCTCTGTCAGGTCTCTGTCCATTGGGGCCCCATTAGAGATGGCATTGTCCCAAGAATCCTTTAATTGCTTCAGTTTTGCTTTTGTCTCAGATGGGATTTTGCTGTTGATCTCTGATTTAAGTTCCTCGCTTTTCTTCTTTTGATCAATGAGTTTGTTTACCATGTCTAGCTTTTCAAGCTTCTGTTTCAAACCCATGTAGGAACCAGGCTTTGATAGGTTCTGCTTGAATTCTTGCATGATTTTGTCTGCTTTTTCCTTCAGGTTTCCGCCGAGTGGTTGATTAGGCGACCCTTTTGGCGCTTTAGAGAGTTCTAGCTTGAGTGATTCAAGCTTCTCTTGCAGGCCCATGGAGGTGAATGCATTGGCTATCTCTTTGTCAGCATCTTGCTTGAGTTTCTCGATTTCTAAATTTATGTCAACAGCCTTTGGCAGGCTGGTTTGAGATGGCTTCATTTTGTGTTTTCTCTTTGGATCAATGGGAACACCTTCTTGGAAACAGCCAATATGTCGGTATTTGAGCATTCTGTGGTGAAGCAGCTCTTCTGTACTCATGCTTGACAACTCCTGAACAAAGTCAATTTTAGCTTTTATTAGATGAAACAAAAGAAAATCACTTGCAGAGGTTAGGAACGTCGACTCTCTGGTATGATATTGTTTACTTTGAGTATAAACTCGGATAGCTAGCACATCTCCTATAATCTCATGTGATTCCATTTCTAAAAGAATGGGAAGAAAACTTCTGATTAACAAAAATGGAATAAGATGACACACAGGACGATCACTTGATCCAAGAACTTTGAACCTTTGCAAGGAATAACTCAAAACCATCATGAACCAGCTTAGAGGTTAAAGGGTAGGTTGATAAAACAGAAAGGGACTTTGGGGTTATGGGTTCGAACTTCATGTTTTCCAACTATTGCTAATATTTACAACAGTTTTCCTTCCATTAAATGTCAAGAAAGGCAAGGGGAACATAGATTGTCCCAAGATACTAGTCCAGGAGTCCATTAGATAGCAAATACTCAGGGACATGATAATTGTTATTAATGGGTCCAAAATAATTGATCGTGGTGGGTATTAGAGAATAAGAGCATTGTTCAAAACAATGGGGGCATAAGATTAGGAAAGATCCAGGATGAAGTTTACAATTTCTGCAATTCTAAATGTGAAGATGAGAAGGATACCTGCCTTCATTGCCTGGATTATTGCAGACTTAATTTGTTGGGAGGCCCATACAGGATCAGCATGTGCACCACCTAGAGGCTCCTGTGAGAGTAATTATTAACATAACATAAGCAAAGTCCAGTAGTAGCATCAGCTGAACTTATTATAAAAATGTAGGGTAAATTAATAGTTTTATTAATTAGTGTATCAATAATATAGTATGTGCTATTTCTTCTTAAAACTTCATCCCTCTCACAGGCACAAACGTGAGTTGAAACAATTGGTCAAGCCAAGATAAGCCGTTGAATGAAACACATCAATAAATAAGATAGATTTGGAAGAAGTATAAGATGGCGAGCACGTCAGATATGAGATGAGGAATTCTTAGGCTGACAGGCTGGAATGTGCCGCTTTCCTACTTTATGACAGTTATCAATTGTCTAATTGGAATCACAGCACAACCCTTGTTTTACTCGTTTCATAAGGAGGACAAGAGAAAAGGAACAGAGCAATAAGCAATAGCAGACAAGAAACCTCGTGGGGTCAAACCAAAGAGTAAGTTCCAATTGGGCAATGAAGCTTTTTTATTTTTTTTTTCTTTTCCTTTCTTCTTGTTCAGTCATAAACCAGAAAAGAAATGATGCCAGGCAAGAAAATGGTGCGGCTTTAACAATGCTTTAAGCGCTCAGAGTACACGGTTTACAAAGAAAAATACGTACAGGGATGACGCCATCAGCAATTTTGAGCCTATAATGTTCTTGAGCTGTGATTCTCAATTTCTCTGTAGCCTACGGGAGTAAGAAACTTCGTGAGTGAGACAAGCTGGCTAGTCTTGTTTTCAAATGCGTCCAATCACCAAATTAATCAAATACCTTGGGGGCTGCTTGGGAGGATTTCCACAATATTGCAGCACAGGCTTCAGGACTGATAAGAAAGACAGGTACAAGAAACAAGTTTATTGTATGAGCTACACATATTACATATTACATAACAAGAGAAAATCTTGTTCTGTTATGTTAAATGTTACTTCCTTATTGACAAGGATCAAAAGTGCTGAAAGTTTGCTTGAATGCAGGGATAAATGCAGACGTGAGACCTCAAACATCATTTACATGTAAATCGAGTATCATAACTACACACCTGAAAGTGTAGCTTATAAAATCTTATCAAGCAGTTCTTCAACGAGTGTCTGAGCAACTATAAGTTCGAGGATGGATTTTTTTTTTTTTTTTTTTTT